CCCATATCCTAAAAATAAATATATTTGACAATTAAAAGTGAGATCACACTCTACACGTCTGCATTTACCCCCTAACCTACTGTACTCTTTTAGTTAAATTTTGGCAAGCATTTACTTGCTTTGGATTGTATTTGGGGATCCTGAAAGTAGACTAGAACATGATCCCTTCTGTCAAAACTTACACGAAAGATGGGTCAACCAAACATGTGCACAGAAAGAAACAATACAGATAATAAAATACACACATGAGCTATTAGAAACTAGTGGTGTAGACTGAGGGTTCAGGGCAAATGAGAACATGAAAGGTAGATTCGGCTGCAGTAATCAGGGGGCAGGCCAGGCAGGTCTTGAAGGAAAGTTGTGATTTGACTTTGTGTAGAAGACAAGGGCTTTGCAGGCTTGGGACAGATGAAGAGACAGTGTGGGCACCAGGACGTTAGGTCAGCTCCAGAGGGATTGAGAATTTGAGAGCTCTCCAGAGACTCTGGTTCTCGAAAGTTGTAGCAAGAAGGAACCATCCTAGAGGCTCCAATCTCGAATTTCCCAGTGGGTCTAGTATCGAAGTGTATTCAAAAAGTTGCCAAGTGCATGTTGGTCAAGATTCTTTTGCTTGTGATCTCTCAAACTAGCTCAAGCAAAAAATGGGATTTATTGGCCAAAATACCTAAAGTTGTCTGGGGACATGTCGGGCTGATCGAGGTGTTCAGTCGAGGCCATCACAAACATGTCTCTGGATCCTGTGGTTCTCCTTCATGATGGCAAGATGACCTCAGCAACTGTAGGCTTATATTCCACCAGTTTAGCATCCTCGTAGCAAGAGAGCTTCTCCCTCCCAATAGATCTAGCAAAAGCCCACATATTTGCTGATGCTCATTGGTTCTGATGGTCTAGGTCAGGTGCTCATCCTTTGATTAATCACAGGGACGGGAGCAGTGCTGGCTTAAATCAGGTGTTCTTGGGGCGCCTGGGTGGCGCAGTCGGTTAAGCGTCCGACTTCAGCCAGGTCACGATCTCACGGTCCGTGAGTTCGAGCCCCGCGTCAGGCTCTGGGCTGATGGCTCGGAGCCTGGAGCCTGTTTCCGATTCTGTGTCTCCCTCTCTCTCTGCCCCTCCCCCGTTCATGCTCTGTCTCTCTCTGTCCCATAAATAAATAAAAATGTTGAAAAAAAAATTAAAAAAAAAAATCAGGTGTTCTTTCCTCCAGTAGGGGTGAGATCATGAGTCCAGTCCATGTACTGAAAGTAGGGAAAGAGGTTTCTCAGAAGCAGTTGTGAATGTTGGGCAGACCAAATCGACAGATGTCCACTACAAGATAGTTATATACATGATCTCATATAAACGTCTCAACAACACAATGCTACAGCCATTATTGATCCCAACTTACAGATAAGGCCCCTGAAGTACAGACTTTATTGTCTTTGGGACTGTGCCCCTGTACTTTCTACAGACAGCTTGCTTAGACCTTTTAGGATGGCCCAACCCAGTGGTTCTCAGCCTTGACTGCACATCAGAATCACCTGGGATGCTTTTAAAAAATCCCAGTGTTCTGCCAACACCCCCAACCAGTTGAGTCAGAAATTCTGGGAGTGGGACCAGGCATCGAAAATTTTTAGTAGCTAGCCAGTGCGCAGCCCTGGCCGAAAACCACCATCCCAGAGGTTGTTTTCTTTTCAGAAAGTTGTAATGAGAGTAATGGGCTGAGCCAAGTTCTGTTTTCTCAGCAGCAGCACCAATAATGAGGCATGCACTCAGACCCCAAGGAGATCAAACTACCACAGGAAAGCAAACCGAAAGCCCAGTGGAAATCAGGCATTGAGAATATAGATTGAGATGTTACTGATTTGGGAGTTTTATGATTTGAAGGGCATCTTTGGTTCAATGTCATTTATTCCTATGTGGATATAACAGGCCTTATCAAGTTTTAGCAGATGGAAATATTAGAAGCATAAGCAAGACATTCTTCTCTCTGGGGATGTTCATTCAAAAAAAAATTTGGTCTGTCAGAAGGTTTTGGATTAGATGGTTGAAAGGTAGTTAATAATACTTGAAAAATGAAAATCTCTGATGCCGGGGGTCTCTGGCAGAGGAGACTTCTAGAGGTACTCTTGTGGTTTCTGCTGATGCTTTGTAGGAAGGGTGACTGCCTCATCTGAGAGGTCCAGACCTTGGAGGGATGGACATGCTTCCTTTCTGTCTTCAGCAGAGCCAGTGTTCCTAGAAGAACTGGGTTCTAATTCACAAAATGAGAGCATTTTATAGCTGAAGTCCAACACTCTTGTGTATATTAAGGAACCAAGTCTCAGAAAGGAGCTCACCATTTGAATTATGAATTCTGATTATGAATTTTTTTTCACAAATCCTGATCAAATTTGTAGAAGTCATTAGAAGTGTTTTTGTGTGCTTTTGTTGATATTTTTCATAATTTATTTGACACTTTATTACGTTATTTTTTTAAGTTAGTTCTCACTCAGTTCTTTATAACTTATTCTGAAATACCCTGTTCATCTATTCTTTCAATATATACTCACTATGTGCCTTGTGTGTGCCAGGTACTGGAGTAGGTGCCATAAATCTTTCTTTTCTTTTCTTTCTTTCTTTCTTTCCTTCCTTCCTTCTTTCTTTTTTTTCTTTCTTTCCTTCCTTCTTTCTTTTCTTTCTTTCTTTCTTTCTTTCTTTCTTTCTTTCTTTCTTTCTTTCTTTCAGATGGAGTTTGCAGTGACATTTTAGAAACCAGTAAGTTCTGACCCTTACTATACTTTGGAGTTTAGCATTTGGTGCTTTTTATATTTTATGTTCTCATACAACTATTCTGGCTTCCTAAGTAGACTATACACTCTCAGAGGAACTATTTTATGTATTTTATTCTTTGTGTCCGAGAGCCTATCAACAGTTCCATTAATTATCTATAAATGGCAGTGTTGGATGGCTGGGCAAGTAACAGCCGGTAGACTTGTTAATTAAACTGCAGCCCATGTTTCTTAAACACCTTATTTGTTTTGGTTTTAGAAGACAGTGGCATAAGTATTTCTGCCTTTAGTCCTAATCTCATCTGCTCTGAGGAAGATGAACTTAGAATGCGATACCAGTCGTTCCCCAAATAAGGAAAACTTGAGAAAATGTTTCCTTGTTCTGATGTTCTGTGTCACCTAGCTGTGGGCTCCTCTCTTAGATCCCCGATCTCTCCTCTTGCCCCTTGGGCATAATGTGACCTCTTGGCTTGGAAAGTGCACCAAGGGGCTCTCTAGTCAGAGTCCCGCTGATGCAAATATCAGCCCTTGCACAGTATCCCCAGGGCTTCTCCCTGCCCCCTCTTCCTTCAACCAGGACCGTCATCAGCTCATAATTGCCAGTAGAATGAAGTCACTCCTAAAATGCTTCTTAGAGCATCGAAAGCCCTCTGCCGTCTTGTCGCCTCAACCCCTACCTTCTTCTTTGGTCTTGTCTTTCACCCCTTCTCATGACACATCATGCGCCAGAGCCAAAGCGAAAGCCCGCAGCCTCCAGGATGCACCTCCTGCTTGCTGCTCTCCACAGTCTTTGCTGTAATGGCACCATAGACGCCAGAACGGTCTCCTCCCATTATCTGTGCATTCTCATGTCGTAGGCATCCTTCAGGTCTAATCCAAATGCCACCACTTCCTTGAAGATTTCCTTAATTCTGCCGTTTCCCTGCATTTGGTTCATGTCCTCATTTGAGGTAACGCCTCATTTTGCCTTATAAGTATTTGCCTTCAGACCTTCCTTAACTTCCTCCTCTCCTTTCTTACTGATCCCTCACTCTGTGCCAAGTGCCAGGGACATAAAGATGCATCAAACATGTTGTGGTCCCTGCTCCAAAGACGTTTACAGTCTGGAAGAGGAGGCAGACATGGAAGCCACCAGAATGAAAATTTCAGGAGACTGAAGATTTTTGTCTCTTTTATCCACTACTGAATCCACGTGGCCTACAGCAGTGCAGAGAACGTAGTTACCACTCAAGAAATGTTTGTTGAGTGAATAAATGATCTATCGGAAGTGTGTGTGTATGGATATACATGCACAGGTATATACATATATAGTATACATATACATGTATGGGTGTATATATATAAATATATGGAAAGGATAAAATAAAGTCCAATTAAGACTGCAGAGGAAGGAAGACTTTGCTGAATCAGGTTCTTTTTATTTTTGAGAGAAAGAGAGAGAGAGAGTGAGAGAGGAGGAGGGGCAGAGAGCGAGGGAGACGCACAAACCAAAGCAGGCTCCAGGCTTGAAGCTGTCAGCACAGAGCCCAATGCAGAGTTCAAACTCATGAGCCGCGAGATCATGACCTGAGCCAAAGTCGGATGCTTAACGGATTGAGCCACCCAGGCGCCCTGTTAAGTTAGGCTCTAAATCATGAGTCGGACTTTGCTGGCAAAGATTCTACTCTTGTTTTAGGGGAGGACGAAGTCTTAACCTTCTTTTTCCCGTGTTTCCTACACTGACCTTCATGCATCATGGTAGCTCAGTAAATGTTTATGGCATTGAACTGAAGCTGTTCCTAGCTAATCTGGAACCCTGGATCCTAACTTCTCGCCTGTTTTGCCTAGCCTATATTAAAGAACAGACGGTCCTAGTACTGATGCCAAATTCTTCCGTCCCCTACCATCTGCTTCCTTGACGAGCTGACCCCAGAGGGTTTGGAAGGTCTTTGCTTTTATAAAAGTGGAAATAGGACTGTTCACATAGTGTGGCCTCTGCAGCTAGAGCAGGCTCCCAGGGGACTTGTCTAGACTGGATCCAACATAGCTTTGCCACATTGCTGCTCAGACCGGTGGTGTTTGCTTCCCATGTGCAGGGCATTACTTCAGCACTCTCAGGATGCTCCAGACGTGGCCATTTGCTTCTAGAAAAGCCTGGAATTGCTGCTGTGTGAGGTTTGAGTAGAAACGGCTGGATCGGTGGAGCTTCCAGCGGCTAAGTAATTAACTTAATTCAGCACATCCTTGAGTACTCGCTGTAGAGCAGGCACTGACCTAGGCAAATGGGACCTTCAGTGGTGAGGGGTGAAAGGCCAAATCCTGCCTTCAACAGGCACTGTCTCCAACAGTAACTACAGAACAGGGTGAAATGTAACCCGGTGCTAAGCAGGAGGATGGTCTTGGAAGTGTGAGCGGCTGCAGTGAGGGTTGGTGTGATGACACGTTTGGGGGTGTGGGTGAGAAAGGACATCCTGTCTGAGGAGCGGTGCTGTGGAAGAAACAAGAGGAGCACGAAAACCAAGGGGGGCAGAGCCGCGTGGAACCCACACGGTGGCCAACCACGCAGGAAAGTAAGACGGGGTAATTATGTGGCCTCTGTCCCTTCTGCGAGGGAAACCCGGGTACCTTCCAGATGCTCTCAGAAATGGGCCAAAGCGCCAGGGAGGCGGAGACCTAGGCTTTAAGCCTCAGGTCTTCCACGGACCAGCTGTGTCACCTTGGAGGTGCTATACGAACTTACTGGGCCTCTGATCCTCAGCTGGAAGTGAGGGGGGCGGGGGGCACACGTGCAGTTTTAGGCCCTTACCAGCTGGGGGTTGTGGTTCCTAAATTGCATCCTTCTCCCTCTGCTGGGGCTCCGTATCCTGGTCCGAGCCTGTGCCTGGCCTGTCTGTGGTGCAGATGCCCTGAGGTAGGGATGATTGACCAGGGAGAGTGGAGGGCGGCCACTGGGGAGAAGGGAAGCAGGGTGGGGCACAGAAGGCAAAATGGCCTGAGCTTGCTTTCTTCCCATCTTTCAGTACTCCTTGCTCCTTTGGCTGCAAGAGGAGAGGAAGAGAGAAATTAAGCCTGGTGGCTTTAGAATGCTCTTTGTACTGTATCTGACTTAGGATTTAGCAGTGTAAACCTCCAGTGAACTATTTACATACTTATTTCCAATCCAGTGGGCTCAAGGCTTACATGAGAGCCTTTGATGTGTTGCCATAACTCACTGCATAATTGCTGTTTTCTTTTAGTGTCTACACCCGTCAGGAGGTTGGAACCTTGCATTGTGCCTTTATATTTCACTAAGTTAAGCTTCTTTGTTTTCTTGCTTCACCAAGTCACATTTAGACCTCATGCCTTCTGTTATAAAACAGACTGCCTCACAGAGAGTACAGTTTTCCATTCAGAATGAGATTTGTGGAATGTAATCAAAAGAAGGAAGATGATTAATCATCATTCCGTTATTACTCTCCTATTTTGTCTCCTGGCAATGGCTGAGGAGTTTCGTTCCCATCTCTTTGTGTCTGTGTGATCTGTGCTGAAAATCCCTATGAGAAGTAGCAAGGCCACCTAGTCTGCCTGTGGAACCTTCTCTTCAGATGTTCACTTTAGCTACTGATTCCCCCTGAAGTGGGCTGGGGATATTCCCCCCCCTTCAGAGACAATGCTAGCTTTGGATTCCCAATCAGCCTCTGAGAGTTTGAGCATTTGAACGGGTGAAAATGTACAAGTCGGTCCATACGGCAGCTATTTGAGCTTGGAGTTTCTTTGTGCCCTACGTCTGGTTTGGGGTATAAATCCTCCAATATGGCTTACTGATGGACTTTCCCCAGGCTATCACTTGTGCATGCTACTTTCAGCTTCAGGACCTTCCATCATAACATCACAGGATCGAAGACATTTAGAGTTAAGATGAGCCATGGGGGTGTGAGTGAACCCTCTCCTGTCGTGCTGGGACCCCCACTCTGCTGTCTTGGGACCTCTTTATCCTCATCTTGCCTTACTTTTGCTCTGCTAGTTTGGACAGGTTGGCAATTCAGCATGGCTGCTGGCTTCCTCTACCGAGTCCAAACAGGGGAGAGTGGGGAGTTGAGCTGTCAAAGAACGAGAGCCATAGACAGTAAATAAAGCGTAGCTGCTCAAGAGTAAGCACAGGGCCCGGGGTAGAAGCTCATGGGTAAGAGATGGGGTTGGGAGTGGTGGGCCTAGGTTATAGCTCGGCACTTTTTCTGCTCTGAAAGGAGGCTTTCTTCTATCTCACCCCATCCTCAGGAACCCATTACTAGCCAAGGGATGAAAAATGAACTCACACACACAAATCATATTTCTTTTTTTTATTAAAAAGGTTTTTAAAAAAATTTTTAATTTACTTTTGAGAAGACAGAGCATGAGTAGGGGAGGGACAGAGAGAGAGGGAGACACGCTCCAGGCTCTGAGCTGTCAGCACAGAGCCTGACGCGGGGCTCGAACCCATGAACTGCAAGATCATGACCTGAGCCGAAGTCGGACGCTCAATTGACTGAGCCGCCCAGGCACTCTGCAGATCATATTTCTGTCAAGAGCACAAGCACTATGAAAGATAGACAAATCAGAACAATTGCTACTAAAGGAAGCAGAATACAAAAAGCAAATGAGAAGGTGAAGTGAAAAACGTCAGCTAGATGCCCAGATAAGACACCCTTCACTCGTACCCCTTGACTCCCTGCAGCCATAATTCGGCATTCCTCTCTGAACAAAAGTGTCTTTTTGTGAGAGTACTGGGATCCGGGTAGGAGACTGTGAAACCCAGTGTAGTGCAAGACTGAGGAGAGCCATTTTGAGAAGGGAGGCTCTCACCCAGGTAGGTAGCTGACTTGCCACAGACCCAGAAACAGCTGTGTATCCCCGAGAATTCCGTTCCAGCCTCTTTGGTTGTGGTCCGATCACCGACACCACATGCAAGGGACCCGGGCAGGGTCATCCCTACCTTTGGACACTGAAGTGGCCTGTAAATCAGCTCGAACCCTTCTTGGCCATATTCCAGGAGCCCCTGGAGGTGATGCCATCAAGATGGCGACATAGGTTGTTCCCAAATTCAGTCTTCCTCTCAAGAAGACCAACCGGCAACTATCCATAGACAAAGACAGCATTGTGAAAATTCCAGAACACAGGGTGGGGGGTGGGTGCGGCCACAGAGAATGAGAAAGACAGCATTAGAAAGTGCGAGGAGTACGGGGTGCCCGGGTGGCTCAGTCGGTTAAGCGTCCGACTTCGGCTCAGGTCACGATCTCGCGGCTCGTGAGTTCAAGCCCCGCGTCGGGCTCTGTGCTGACAGCTCAGAGCCTGGACCCTGTTTCAGATTCTGTGTCTCCCTCTCTCTCTCTGACCCTCCCCCGTTCATGCTCTGTCTCTCTGTCTCAAAAATAAACGTTAAAAAAAAAAAAATTAAAAAATAAAAAAAAAAAAAAAAAAAAAAAAAAAAAAGTACGTACGAGGAGTAGTTTTACTTTGATCACGTTGCCACCCCCCGCCCCCCCCCAGGCTGGCACAGGGACCATTGCGGGAATCTGCTGGACTCGACCACTGGGGGTCAGACAGAGATGAAGGGGAACATGGCTTAGCACAACCAGCATTCAGATCTTATCAGATCACACGTCTGCATACAGTAGCACCTGGGTGAGATCCCAGCCGGCAGCTGGCCCTGTGTGGCCAGGGAGCTTGGCCGACAGTTCTACCTGATTTGAGTCCCCAACCAACGGGCCGAATGGGCCTTGGAGCCCGTTCCGTAATCTCATCCAGACAAGGAAGGAAATTCGCAGCCCCACACAACTGCTGAGCACAGCCTCCCATCCTGCCTGACGAGAAGCCTGGTCAGAGAGCCTTGGCAGCTGTGGAACCCTTCCTGCAGCCCTGATCAGGTGGGGAACTGAGTCAGCAGCCCTGCCGAATGGTTGAGCATAGCCTCTGGCCTCACATGACCCGAGAGACTGAGCAGTGACCCTGGGCAGCCTCGGAGGGCAGCCTTGGAGCCCAGCCTCTGGTACTGCCCAGGCAGTGACTCTGCCCAGCTGAGGTGCAGACACTGTGGCTTCAATCTGCCAAGGCTCCTGGACGGTGACCCCACCCAACCTCAAAACACAATCTCCAGCCCACCCAACTGCAAGATCCAGTGGGAGGCCCTGCCCAGGTCGAGAGCCTGGGCAGCAATGTCACCCAATAGTGGAGCACAGCCAGCGGGCTGAGTGCAGAGCTCAGCTCACATCCCCCACACCTTTGAGGTACAGCCTGTGCCCCTGTCTGATTGCAGAGCAGAGCTGTGTCTGACTGTGAAGCTGTCAAAGGTTTAAAATAGCCAAGCTAAAACCAGGGAATCACTGAAGTAGTAATTAGTAAAAATTCTGGTGCACAGAGCTGGCGAACCGGGAGCGCTCAAACCAGAACATGGAATGAGCCTCAGGGGTGGATTGTTAGAAGGCAGCTTATAGAGTGATAAAGCAGTGACTGTTTATTCCTCTCGGTAACTGGTTACGATATTACAGTTTTCTCTGGTTACTTCATATCAGTTTCAAGAAACAGTTGAAGTTTGCTTCTCATTTCTAGAAGCACAAGCCAGAAGTGATCCCGGTCAAGTTTGCCTGGCAAAATAAGCTAACCTACACTTTGCCTGCATGACGAAATTGGTTCTGTCTGCTCAGGGAACCTTCAAGGCTCATCTCCATCCATCCTTGATTTTAACGATTCCCTCTGTTCAGGCTTTCTCTCAGCAAGCAGGCTGGGAGTGTGACCGGCCAATCATTATAGGGTTATTCTCAGTTATCACTGTTGATGTAGTCAGGCTGAAGAATCCCACATTCACTGTTTCCATTAGTCGGGTCATCAGGCCGGAAGGGCCCTGTAATCACTTCTTCATCGTCCGTGTGGTTATTGTTGATTTCATCCAGTCGTCTGATGCTGACAGATACCATTTGGCATATAAGTGGCTGCCGACAAGCGTTTAGAAACTTCGAGAATATACAATGCACTTGAAAGGTCAATATGGTGAATGTAGAGAGAACAGCCAAGGATGGAAAAATTCCCCGGAGCACAGATTCCCAGGAGCCAAGATTTAACCAATAAAATAAATCAAATGGGTTTTAATCACATTCAGGTTTTACCTTTCTAAGTGAATGTACAATTTTTCCAAAAGTTATTTACACAGGCACAACAGGATGTATTCGCATAACACACATCCTCATGATCAGGTAGGACAGGGTGAACTTGAGGACGTCGTATTTCAGGAGGCGCTATTGCAGGTGGACTCTCACCTCAGAATGAGGCCTCTATGATGCGAGCAATCAGGTATTTTAATGAGAGGCATTTCTGCGGAAACGAAAGGAAACCAAAGGTTAATAGTTTGAGCAAATTAGAAATTCAGCGTTCTGAGTTGGGAAGATTTCTAGATGTCGGGTTCTGAGCATCTTCAGATGAAGGAAGGCAAGCAGTGGCAATCAGACAGATTTTCCTGGTTGGCAGCATGAATGGAAAGGTCACCAAGTGGCCCCATAGCAACAGGCCGAGAACTGTTCACACACTGAGTTGTGGTGAGGTCTCCGAAGTTTAGATCAAGTTGTCCAGCTTTAGCCGGCATGGCTTTGGAAAAAGCGCAGCTTTAGTTTCGCAGTGATTGCAAGTCAAAATAGCGGGAGGAAATGGAAAATGTAAGTTTAGAGAATTTGAGCCACCTGTTGGAGGAAGTTAGAATACAGGACATTTTCAGGTAGAAAACAATCTTCAAAGACAATGAACAGTGTTCGAATCTTATTATCTGTGAAGGTATATTACTGAAGTATAATTTTTTCCTGCATAATCATTTCCATTTCTATCAAAGATAACAATAGCAAAACTGATTTGTTTGTAAATTAAATCCAGTTGTAATAAACTTGGCTTGATTATTTATGTAAGTGCAGAAAGAATAGTCATTGACCATATAGGTTCTTTTATATTTTATTTATTACAAAAAATTAGTTTTAATTTTAATTTTTTTTTTTTTTTTTTTGAGAGTGAGAGGGCACACAAGCAAGGGAGGAGCAGAGGGAGAGGGAGGGACAAAATCCCCAGCAGGTGCCACACTCAGTATGGCTGGCTCTCACTACCATGAGATCATGACCTGTGCCCAAATCAAGAGTCGGACACTTAACTGACTGACCCACCCAGGCACCCCACCACATAGGCTCTTTTAAATCTGGAAAACAAAACATTAAACAACCAGCTATGTTTAAATGAAGTCATAAAAATTATAATCATCCTCATTAGTTCATTTAGTTTTC